TATCATCATCAAGAATTTTCCATCACTAGAAGTCTTGTTCAAGAGATTTATCTCATCTTGTTTTGTGTTTCTGAATCTCACACTCTCTCTTAAATTCTAATTATTTCCTCCATCTCCGGTAAACCAAACCAGATTGGCTGGCCCAGAAGAAATCACAGCAGTCAACGACCAGTTGGTGAGATTATTCTGTGTCTGAACTTTGGTATATCTGCTTTCTTATTTATCTTTGGAAGAAGGTGATTGAAAAAAAAAAAAAAAAAGGTGGCCAGACTTGAATGCTTCAGGAAAGTGGACAGATGGAGGGAGGGTATTTCATCTGTCAGACCTAAGTGCCTGAGCATCAGATACTGGTGATTCTCATCAAAGGTGTATGGATAGGCAAAGCCCGTGGAAACACAGGTGGTAGTCATGAATTAGGAAGAAAAAAACTGAAGATTTAGAGAAAGTGGGAAAGGGAAAGTCAAAGAAAAAAAGAAAGAAAAACAAGTACAAGGAAGCTACTCTGCGACAGAAAATAAAGTCGGATACCTCAGTAGTTCGATCACACCCTTCCTGCTCACTCATCTCTCACGCTCAGCACACTTCAAGGCATCTGCTTTTTGTAAAATTACAAAGATCCTATTTTCCCACACTCAGTTAGGGGCATATACCATGAAATTTCTGCTATTTGTGAGTGTAAAGTGTGATGAGAGAGAGAGAGGGAGGGAGAGAGAAAGAGAGGAGAGAAGGAAAGAAGGAAAGAGAAAGAACCACAATAATACATTGAACTTTCAGAAGGAGAGAACAGATATATGGTTACTAGAGGTGGGACAGAGGAAGGGAGATTAGGGAGAAACTGGGTAATGAACACAAAGAATAATTACAATTTGTAATGCTGAACATGCAAATAATATTGATTTGATCATCACATATTGCACACAAATACTGATAATCAAAATTATACCTCATAAATATCTGTAATCAATTATGTTTCAAATGCAAAATTAAAAAACAACAACAACAATAGCATTCACGGCCAATCAACAAAGCATTAGGAATTAGGATTAAGGGGTTTCTGAATTTTCTCCTAAGATTTCTAGTGTAACTTTTTAAGTAAGTCACTTATTTTGTTGGAATAAATATGATAATGTGATACACTTTGAAGACAGATATTTTCTGTTGAAGTCATAGGAGTTAAAAGGGTTGCTCTTGCATTATGTAGAATTGCTGTTTTATTTAATTTTTTTTGTCTTTTTTGTGACTAGTAAGGTGATCACAACCCTTGGCTTGGTGACGCCCACACTGCGCTCAGCCAGTGAGTGCACCGGCCATCCCCATATAGGATCCAAACCTGCGGCGGGAGCGCCGCTGCGCTCCCAAGCTCCGCACTCTCCCGAGTGCGCCACGGGGCCAGCCCAGAATTGCTGTTTTAATAGTACTCTGTGTAGTAATACACATTTTCAGATATCCCTATTGAAATGAACTTAAATTCCATCCCAATAATGACTCATTGAAGTCAGACAGAAACTTTTCCTGAGTAATGCAGTTTCTTTATATTCTGTAAAAATATTTCTATTTATATTCTGTAAAAATATCCAGTATACTTTAGACACTCAAAAAATACTGTTTTAAATAAAATATTAGTAATACTTTAAAAAATGTGATTCAAAACATAAGATTTGGAAACCAAAATAATAAAACCTGGAGAGACAATTTTCTGGAAGAAATGTTCCAGAAAACCCAGGCCATATTTTTAAGAGATAAAGCTCAGGTTCTTTAGTTTGTCATTCAGGACTTTGTATCAGGCTCCTACCTACCTTATTTCCTTTGAGTTCTTCTCCAACCCCATAGACTGTGAGTGATACAGCACTGCAGAACCCCAGAATGGTGAGAAACAGCATCATCAGCACAATTTCCTGTTGAGCAATAATCAACAACCAACAAGACAATTGACGTCACATGGTAAGTGTCCCCAAAGTTCATTCTCTTATAGCAGCCCCTGCTTTCATCTCCCCCACATGATTGCTCCTTATAAAGTGACCCCATACACAGGAAAACCAGGAGATGGTTCCTCGGGGCAGATAATTCCAACCTTGAGGAATCTGGCCCAGAGTGAGGGGAGAGGGCAGCCAGGATCTCCCTGGACTGGGAACCCACAGAACACTATATTATGTGATGGAGGTTGCGAAAATGGATTGTGTTCATGGAAAAGGTAAAGAGGGCCTCCCACTTAGATTACAACCCTAAATCTTAGCCTTCCCACAAGAAATACATACCGTAGAAAAAGAAACCCCAAAGCAGAAGTCAACCTCAACAGCTTCCTGGCAATCACCAATAAAAGCGGAGCTCTTCCTTAGGTCTATGATCAGAATGATAATTCCTATTCCCCCAGCTATACTGCTGACAGTGTTTGCTCCCAGGCTTCCTCTGGCCTGATGATAAATAAGAACATTCAGACCTGGACCTGCACCTGCCAGAACATTCAATAAACTTATCTGCATTTCAGTAGTTCAAAATTTAGCTTAGAAAGAGAAATCTTGAAAATATGCTCACTGTTTAATAAGCATCAACTTCTTGCTGGGACTGTGTTTAGGAAGAACCACATAGATGCTTATGGTCTCTCCTTGAATAGTCTCCTTAATTAGAAACTAATTATTTATTTGATCGTGTGAATATAACTACATGGACAACGCCCATGTGGGGACATTTTTTTTTTAAACAAATGTCAAGGTAATTAAACTTCACTCTAGGCTAAACGATACAATCTGTTTCTGATGATTACATCCAACGTCTGTTGCAAAAGACCTTCTAATACAAAGTAGGTTGAAAAAAAATTGCATGTTCACACTCACAATCATGTAGGAGATGAACACATGTCTTCCTCAAGACTCCTAAAATTCCATTTTCTTACCTTATCTGGGATAGACAAAGTTGCAACTCACCAGATATGTTGTATTTTTCTTTTCCAATATAATTGACAAAAGTCCTGAAATATCAAACTGTCCAAAAGAGAAGGGAAAAAGACACAGTTAGTCTCTGCTCTCCAATGTGTCCCTTTTACCCCATCCCCCAAATATAAAGTAAAATTTGGGGTGCTCCATAAAGCTGTGTATTAATGTCCCTCACGAACCCAGTATTTCCTTATTCTTATTTTCTATAGATGCTTCTGAAAATTAAATATGTATATAAATCATGTGAGGGTCTTGTTAAAATGCAGATTCTTATTCATTAGGTCCTGGATGGGGCTTGGGACTCTTCATTTCTACCAGGCTCCCAGGTGATTCTTCCCCTGGCAGTCAGAGGTCACTCTGGGAGTAGGAAGGTCCAGCAACAGGTGGTGCATGACTTTTATACCACTATTGTCATTTGGTGGTAACTGTCTGTTCATCCTCTGTGTTAGACTGTCTGCTCCTTTAGGCAAGAAACGTGTATATATGTGGCATGTACATCTCCAGAGACTAACATATCTCATGTAGACATATAGTGATTATGAAAATACACGTGATAAAAGATTTAGTAAAAAATAAAAATCAATAACACAAATTCATAACAATCTCTCAAGATTGTATGATGGGTTGAGAGACGCCTAATAAGCTAAGTGTTTGGAATGAAAAGACAGTGGAGGGAAGTTTTAAAAAACTATGGTAGAGGTTCAAGGAGAGTCCTGGACAAATGTTTTGAGTACTAAGTATTTAGCATAGTACCAAGCCAATGTGATATTTATTATAGTTAAAATATATACTTGTGAATGGAGTATTAATACAAAAACCAACATGAATAATTGCAAAACAATTATGTGGGACAAATGAAGACAGACAGTAAAGACAGTGTGCTGTGTCACTCCATTTATATAAAGCTCTAGAAAATGTGAAATAATCTGTAATTACAAAAAGCAGATCAGTGACTGCTTGCAGATGGGAAGACAAGAAATCGGGGAGGGAAGGAGGGTTTACAAAGAAGCACAAGGAAACTCTTGGAGATGATGGATATATTCATTGTATGTATGTAGTAATGTTTTTATGTGTGTATAATGTGTCAAAACTTATCAAATTGTATATTTAAATATGTGCAATTCGTTGTATGTCAATTATATCTCAATAAAGCTATACAGCCTCACGATCTCATTCAGCCATCTGTTTGCCAGACGACACAATGATTAAAAGAGATACAATTGTAAAGTACCTAGAAGACTTTCTTAGGGTGTGATAGAAGTTTATCTTTTCCTTACCTCAGAATCTCTTTCCCCTCCCTGCATGAAGATAACTTCGTTTTTATCATTATTTTTAACCGACAAGATAAAATGGTATGTATTTATTGTGTAACTTTATTGGTGAATAGTCTTAAGGGTTTTTTCCTGGAATTGGATTTTGAAAATTCAGGTTTAATTTCTATTAGCTAAAAGATCCTTTGGGCAAGTCCTTTAACTTTTATTAGTCTCAGGTTTCTCATCTGATAAAAGTATGCTGAATGTTTGACCCACAGCTAATTATAGTTAAGAATCCTTTGTTGTTGTTAATGAGCACATATATATATGAAAAAGTGCTTTGTGAACTGCAAAGATATATATATGTTGTATACATATATGTAAAGAATTATAAATATAAATACTGAATATAAACAACTGATTAGATCTGAGTAAGAGAAAATCTATGTTCAGTGTTATTTCAGAAACAATTATAGATATATACTCACAAATATTGCTCCCCAGAATGGATAACCTGCTTTAAAGGATAAAAAAACGTCTTCCTCAAAGTCTGAAAAATTGAACGCAGAGCAGACAATTGTTCCAAAACAAAGGCATATCAAACCAATCAGAATTTGTGTTACCTGTTAGAAAAAACACGTGGATTTTGTGAAATTACGAGATATTTTCCCAAGATTGTATCAATTTTCTTATAGCTGAGGCCAAATATAAGAAATTATTTTAGTGCCTTAGACTGTCCTAAGTAAGAAATGATTCAATCTGAAATTTTCCATGATCCCCTGGCCACTATGACAATTGATACAAGCATTACCTAATGCCTGGATGGCCGACACATTTCTCATGTGCTTTTATTTACATAGTCATGGCAGACATCAGTAATAGTTCTTTCCATAAGTAAAGATTATGAATCCTTCACTCCTATTTGCCATTCTTGTCCTAGTAATTTAAAATCTTTATGAGAAAATGTTTCTCTTTTCCTAAAAGGGCTCGATTAGTGACCAACTCTTTATCTACCAGGATTTTTAGAGGACCTGTCAGTCATCATGAACCCTATTGGAGAAAGAGTTGATGCAATCAAATATTCTTTTCTAGAGCCAATTCTTACTCCCGTTGAGATTGGAGGATGCTAACTCACCCCCAGGAATATCAACTCTTTCTTCAAAAATGTCAGCCATGTATGCTGGGGTAGAGATGAAGCAGACTTCTTCAGCAGGGTATCATCGTGAACAGATATTTCTGAGAGTTCAAATTCAGGCACCCTGTGAAATTTAACAGAAATTTGGTCATGAGAAAGTTCTCTAACTTCCTAACATAAAGGGAAGTTTCATTTGTTAATATTTTCAAAACAATCCTGCAATTGAAATCTTCATTGTCATGACTAAGAAACTAAGGCTCAGAGGGTCCAAGTAACTGACCAAGAAGACTTGAACACTGTCCGAGTAATTACATGCAACAAAAACCATACCAAGTTTTCTTATATTTAATCCAGGGTTACTAGCACCAAGGTCTTTCCCATTAACCTATATTGATAAATAAAACTGAAAACAGTCAAACAAACACGTTTACCTATGCATATCATAGTCCTTCTATCATAGAAGTGTATCTGAATATATTTTGTCAATGATACACCCAACTTCATGTGCACCGAGGACAGTAGGGTAACAGCTTTGAATGGCTACTTGGATCTCTATTACTATTTTCTTCTTCAAAGCAGTATCCCACAGTTTATGGTTCATAAAGATCAACCAGGAAGGTCACTTTGGAAAGCATTTGTAAGAGCATGTGTGATGGATAAGTGTCCCTCAGCTCATAGACACACAGGCAAGAGATCAATATGCATTGTAAGAACTCTCCTGTCTCACACCCAGAATATGAGCCTCTAGTGTTAGAAAACCTGTTTCTCCAATACACCAGGTGATTAAAAATCTTCCTCCCTACCAGTGAGAGAGAACCACTTGGAAAGTATAGCAAATAGGTATTAATAGGTACCAAATATATTGATTAAACTAGATGGGTCCATGCCTAAATCCATGAATTGACATCTCCCCAAACTGTTACTTTCTCTGGTCCACTAAGTGATTAAGTATTAAAAAAAAAATGATGATAATAATAGCCTGTACCTACCTGGAGGGCCCTTGTGGATTTGGGAGAGTGAGATCTGTTCTGCTCTTATTTTCCATGTCCATTTTTTCATTAACTGGGCTACCCAGGAGTAAAGAATATTGTTACATTAAGACTTGGTGGACTTCCTCTCACAGTGTGCTCTGGATGGCCAGTTAAAATGAGTTGACTCATGGCATTGATGAATATCTTCATACATAAGCCATTTGTCAGACAGATAAGTTTCCCAGCTGATTGAGATCAACAGGGTTTTCTTGTATTGAATAGGAAAATTAAGAAGGCTACTGAATGGACACTAGTGTGAAATGAGAATATCAGCAACCCCCCAAGTATACTTCTGCCTGAGACCAGGATTTACAGAAACTAAAAATGAGACATTTTATGGGGGTTGAGGGGGTGAAAGAACTGCAGAACAGAAAAAGATGTGCCTCTCTTCTGGAGCTTTCTCTCCTTATGTCCCAGTCCAGCCATTTCTATGTCAGAAGTTCTCCAACTGCATTTTTGAAAAGCCTATCTTCACTGTTTAAGGCATATTTGGATGCACATGTAGACTCAAGACTGAAGCACTGTTTCTGTGTATGGGTGTGTCTCAGTCTCTGAATCTGTGGATACACCTCTGACTTCAGTATCTATTGTCTTTCTCTCCCTTCCTTTCTTTTGGACACAGAAGTTTTCACACTAAAGATTCCATTGTCTGCTAAAACCTTAGACTGACTCTCTGCTGCTTAGATCTTTGTAATGGCAAGAAAGGGGCAATGTTATCACTGGGGGTTATGAACTTGTTAACAAATCCTCTGAGCAATTCTAAACAGCACTGTAATGAGCAGCGTGCCTAAGTTAGGGTTAGAGCCAAACCAATGTGCTCATTCTAATAGCATAACTAGCCAGATCATAGCACAATGAATAAGATAAGATTCACAGAAGGTTTGGATCTCTTTTATTTCAGTTTAATTATAGACATAACCTGGAATGGCTCATCAGTAAACTGCAAGATACAACAAATTGTACCTCAAATCACCTGTGTTGTTTTTCCAAGATGCGATAAAATTTATCCTCATAGGAAACTAAGATATTTGCATGACAAGGGATACTAAAAAACACATGGGCATACCTTCCATAGGAAAAATTTATTAACCCAAGTGCCATCTTCCGTTGTGTCCTCAAGAATTGGTGGACCCAACCAATGCACTATTGGAATTAAAAAATAAACCTTAATCATTTATACATTGATTCAGAGAGGACTTAATGCTCTATGCCAGGTGCTGCTCTTATCACTGAGCAGACACAGATGAAAACCATAGTCCCAACCTCTGCCCAGCCCACAATCTAGTAGAGTAGAACAAAGATAAATATTACCCAATATGTCCAAAACTAAAGGCTGTTGTAACACACGGGAGGGTATAACAACTCTGTCTGCTAAGGGGTATGTTGAGTTCAGGCAAGGAATTCCCAGAGACAGTAACATTTAAGGCCAGACTTAATATGATAGCCTCAGGAATTTTCATTTGCTTGCCTCTCCCTCAGTGAAATTACCCCACATCTGCTGAGAAAAGTCCTGAAGTAATGGATGGTTTCTTATGATGTTTCTTAGGAGTACATAATAGCTCATTATGTATGCAGCAAATAAACAGGAATCACACTTGAGATTTAGGCAACTAACAAATAAATCACGGTTTTTGGTGTTTGAACACAATGCTATTTTTCTGAGAATTTTCAACAGAACCTTGAAAAATGCAAATCAGAAACTGAGACGTATAACTTTCCAATTGTTTCATATCCCAATTTTCACTAGCACCTTCTTCTTACCCCTTTCTGAGATGCTTATCTTCTGTGCCCACACCTTGGTTCCCTACAGCCATGTTCTTTCATCTTTCACAATAGGGAACTTTGAAGCATATGACAAAATGACATTTTTTTTTTTTTGGTGGGGCAAAATTATCAAGATACATTTTAACCATGCTTCTGCCTGAAAGGAAGAGATAATAGAGCTAACATTCCTCGCCCAGCACGTATCTTTTCTCCTTCTGGCATGGCCTTTGCACATGGCTGTCACCTGCTCTGCATCTCCAGCTTCCTCTTTGACAAGCAAAGTTTCTTCTCTCAGTTACATACTAGATTTATTGCCCCAAGCTCAAAAGAAATTTGCTTTCAGATCCCACATGAACAATTGTTTTCTCAGTCTGAATGCTCTATTTAATTAAAACAAATAGGCACAAATTTGCATGTTACAAATTAGAAGTTACACTATCTCTTTGGGGATATTTTCTGATACACCCAAAAGAATGACAGGCTCTGTCCTCTCCCTCTCCCAACTGCTTCCCTTTCTCTCCTGTTCTTCTTCCTGTCTGTCTCTCTCTCATTTCTACATCCCATAGCCAAGCATGGTTTCAGTAAATATGGTTAAGAAGCTGAGAGAGCCTGAGATTGACACCAAGATCCAATGCTTCCTGAAAATTTTGGTTACAAAAGTGAAGGAAATAAGAAAACATTGTTTACAAAACAAGGTGGAGGATCCTAAAAGACCTACTGCTGAGTGCAAACGTGAAGGGAAAAATCTTTGCCTATTTATATGACTTCAGAAATGCAAAGAGCAAGATTTATACAGACTATCCTGGTGCTTAAAATCTCCTTGAATCCTTTCTGTAATTGAAGTTTATCTGCTATTGCAGCCGCTGAGCCACTTAAAAAAGTGATTGTCCAGCTCATGTTAATTCTTCATCTGCTCGCACCCCCTCTATCTTCCAAAATGACACTTTTTACAAGGAAAATAACAAGCATGTAATACATCCGTTCTCTTGTGACCAAGAACATCTGCTCGATGGGGAAAATTAGGAGATACCCAGACTTATAGGCAAGGTGTAGACATTAGCTACGTTTCTCCTATGGATGATGAGCATGTTAGCTTTTTAAAATCCATTCCTCCTTCCCTCCCCCAACACCCCAACCATCCTCCTAATGGAATTATACCTAAACGTTTGGTCAGATTCATTTTTACTATTTTCAGTATTAGACCAAAACTTATAATAATATTTTATTCTTTATTGGCTTGTTTCTGAAGCATAATTTTTAACTTACAAAAACTTCAGCTGTTGTATAAATTGCCAATCAATACTGTTTTTCACATTGCTAACCCTGAAGACTAATGAATCGCATTTTATTTCCTGGAGTCACTTGTCTCACCTTGTGTTTCAGTCTGGACAGGTGCCTCTAAGCATCCCACACAGCTATCATTCCAGAAATTCCTATTGCCCTGTCTTATATCATACTCCCTATTCTCTTGATCCCTCACTTTTCACTCTCTTAGTGTACTGTGGTGTGTGGGTAGAACATATTTTCCAGTACATCCTAAGGAAGGAATCAGGGACAGAGAGTTTCTGAGACTTTGCTGCTCTGAACATTTCTTTTTTACACCCGTGTATTTAATTGAATTCTAGATAGGTATAGCGTTTGAACCAGAAAACATTTTTTTTTTCCTTTTTTTTGTCTTTTTTCGTGTCCGGCAACGGATCGCAACCCTCAGTGTCGCGCCCGTACCGGACCAGACCGGCAACGGGATCGCAACCCTCGGTGTTGTGCCCGCACCTCGCTCAGCCAGTGAGCGGGAACCGGTCTGTATGTGGGATCCGAACCCACGGCGGGAGCGCCACCGTGCTCCCAAGAGGCGCACTATAGCAGTGCGCCACCGGGCCGGCCCCCAGAAAACATTTTTTACTCAGCTTCCTTTATTCCATTTTCTTGTAGCTCCTAGCTTCTCCCTGGTGAGGGAGTGAAAAGACTGAGCCATAAGTCCAATGTTCTAAATTTTCTGGGGGCTGCTGAGGCACTTACTTCTGTCTTGCCTGTTTCAGAATGCAGACGGGATCTGGCAAACTCTAGACACACCGGGCCTCTGAGCACGAAAACTGCGGTTTGAAATAGAAGCTAACACATGCCACAGCTCTAACCCTCAGCTCAGCATAAAGGGACTGCATGTCCAACAGTCTGATTTTTCTGGGGGCTGCAAAAGGCACTGGTTTCTGCCTTAACTGTCTTAGAGCACTGATGGGTCCTGACATACTCTAGACACCTGGGAGCCACAAAGACAGCAGTCTGAGCCAGCAAATGGACTTGAGAGTCTCAAAATTTCTGGCCTGGCTGATTGGTAAGGGGCTTCTCCTATCTGAGACCAGTCTATGAAGACCAAGAGAGGTGGCTGTTTTGTCCAGTGTGCAAACGCCAACATAATGAGGATAATAAAGAAACAGAAAAATATTAAATAAAAGGTATTCAAATTGGAAAAGAAGAAGTAAATTTATCTCTCTTTGCAGATGGCATAATAATATATGTGAAGAACCATAAAGACCACACACACACACACACACACACACACAAACTGTTAGAATTAATTAGTAAATTTCATAAAGTTTCAGGATACAAAATCAACGCACAAAAATCAGTGGTGTTTCCATACACCAACAATGAACTGTTTGAAAAGGAAATTTTAAAAACAATTCCATTTAAAATAGCATCTAGAAGAATAAAATACTTAGAAATAAACAACTTATATCCTGAAAACTATAAAACATAGATGAAAAATTAAATAAGAAACAGATAATTGAGAAGACATCCCATGTTCATGAATTGGAAGATTTAATACTGTTAAAACGTCCATATTGGCCAAAGCAATGTAGAGATGCAACAGAATTCCTATTGAAATCCCAACGAAATTTTTACAGATATTTAAAAAAATACTAAAATTTATATGGAACCACAAAGGACCCCTAGTAGCCAAAATAATCTTGAGAAAGAACAAAGCTGGAGGTGTCATACTTGATAATTTTACAATACATTACAAAGCTGCAGTAGTTACAAAAGTACAATACTTGTATAAGGACAAGCATATAGACCAATGGAACAGAATAGTCCAGACATACACCAATGCATATATGGTTAACTGATCTTGGACAAGGTTGCCAAGAATACACAATGAGGAAAGGAAGTCTCTTTCACAAAGGCTGTTGGGAAAAGTGGATATCCACATGTAAAATAATAAAGTTGGATTCTTATCTTATACCATACACAAAAT